TCACAAATTTGGGTGCTTTGAAAAAATATTTTTAAACCAAGTATTTCTAATGCAAATCAATCTGCTATTTGATGTTCTCTGTGATTCAAGCCAACCTCCTTCTTGCCTGAGTTACTGTAATAGCCTCCTAAATGATCTCCCTTAGCAAGGCATTTGGGTGCTCTCATTACACACACCCAACCAGCAATAGCAGTCCCTACTTCCCGTTCTTATGAAACTAACATTTTAATAAGTAAAGGGCAGATATTTAGAGAAAGGTAAATACGGCTTAGGTAGTTAGGTCAAGGCAGGAAGGAAAAACAATTTACTATAAACCCTTTTGTATGTTCACATCACACTCACATCCAAACTCCATCTGATCCAGTTGCTCCTAATTGATCCTTTTAAAAGGCAGATAATGTCCTCCTCCGCTCAAAACCCTCCCATGGTTTCCTATCTTGCTCGGAGTGAAAGCCCAAGTCCGGGCAACGTCCTAGCCGATTTGGCCCCCTCTAACCTCATCCCTACTGCTCTCCCACCTAGCGCAATCCCCTCCAGCCATGCAGGCCTTCTTGCTGTCCCTCCAATACACTAGGCACAATTCCTCCAGACCTGGGACTTGGTTGTTCCCTCTGCCTGGCAAGTTCTCCTCCCAGGTACCAACATGGCTCACACACTTGCTCTCTTCAGGCCTTTGTCAGTCTATCACCTTTTCAACCGGGCTTTTCCTTACCTACCCTATCGCAAGTGCAAACTCTCCCCACCAAAACACTCCAACCTCCTTCCCTACTTAATTTTCTTCCATTAATTTATCACCATCTAACATACTAATGTTTCCTCTATTTTGTTTTTATCTCTCTTCCACTACAAGAATACAAGCTCCGTGAGACAAGGATTTGGGCCTGGTTGTTCACTACATGTCCCCAGCACTTAAGACAGGGCCTGAAACACAGTAGGTGCTTAACTAATAGTTACCGAACGAATAGATGGAATTTCTGTCTATATTTTGGCAGATAAGCACTACCTTCACTTTAGGTATATACATTGCACTGCTCTGTGATCCTTTTACGGGCATGGAAGCTTTGCTCTTGAACTTCTAGCTTGGTTTTTCAGATACTGTTGGTTAAGCTGGGGACTGTCACAGAAGTGGTCTCTAACTATCTGGAAAGACCTAGACTAGAATGAGAAGATATTGTTGACTCTTCCATTCTCCCTTTATGCTTCCCCAGCCCCTAATCTTCCTGACTCCATGAGCACACTACTGAATACCTAAGAAATCTAACTACATGTCCGCTCTCTGGACTCTATTTTGACTTTCTCTCTACTTCCAGATGATCACCTTCTGCCCTCACTGAATTCCATTGACTAGGTCATCCTTCATGTTTTCCTTTGCTGAAGTGGACTTAATTGAATTCTGTTTGACCATCTTAGGTCTTTGGAGGAGTAGGCACAACTTCCAGCAGGTTACAGGTTCTAGAACCCTCACCTGCACCGATTTACTTATGTGGCCACAGTGATTGTAAAGATCAGGAAACAAAGCATTTCAAGTTATAGTCTACTTGATTATAAACATAAAACTATTCCTTTCTATATGCACCAAATTACCTAGCTAAAGAATATAAGAATAATATTTTCATCCAGTTTTCATCTAGTGATGTCTGTATGGACAGAGACATTGGGATGGTCATTTTCAAGTCATATTTAATATCCCTGAATTACTTAATAGCATTTATAAGCAACTCTGGATTCCTGAAGTATGCTCGACTCCTTTTATCCACATCATGGCAGAGCTGTCATTAGGATATTCACTATGTTGTAAAACCACAGGGTGAATGACAACTAGGAATGTCATCTGGATCATCTCTAGCAGAACATATCTAAAGCACACAGTCTGTTGTGGTTTTTTTTCAAGACTTCTAGAGAAAAGACAAATAATTTTCTCTATATATAGATTGTTTGAAGATCAGAGATGAGGGGAGTTTTTTTAGGTTTCACCTCATAACCCAGTTTTAAATTCATTTGAGTTTACTTTAAGTATTTCCTCAGTATATAACAGTCTTTTCCAGTTTGCTTCTAGAAAGCAGAATTAGAAAGAAAAGCTGATAAAAGGATTCAGGAAGGAGCAGAGAGTAAAAGAGCATGAGTGAAAGAAATCTGGCAGAGGGAAATCAAGAAGAAAGGTAAAAAGAATTCAATGCTGTGTTACTCTTTCATTCTTTGATTTCCAAGGGACTTCATCTGGTTCTTTTCTCCAGGCACTCACTACTTGAATACAAAGTACAAACAGACTCAGGAATGATTAAGAGATGGATGGTTGACTATTGGTTTACCGTGGATAAAACAACTCCAGTTATTCAACAATAAACTATGTTCAGTCTTAATATTTTTTTAATAATAATAAAAGCACATGGTAACAAACATTCAATCTATATTGAGAGGGCTAAGAAAGAAAGGCAAAGTCTCCTGCCAATCCCCCTGCCACATCTAATCCTTTTCAACCCCTGTTAAAAATTCTTTTAGTAATTTTCCAGAAAGAAAAATTAAATGCAACTCCCTGCATAGATATACAAATGTGTGTGGGGGATGTACATTGAAAACGTTATTCCAAAGGAATAACATCAGATCTTCTATGTGGCAACTTACTTTTTTCTCTTGAAAGTACATTTTGGAGCTCTTTCCATGTGCTTAGTCATGGAAGCTCCATGAGTAAGGAAACTTTGTCTTTTTAAGCATCGTATTCCCAATGCCTAGAACAAAGGTCTCATATACACTTTTTCTCCAACAAAAATTTGTTAGGTAAATGCAGGAATAAATCAGAAAATACAGATTAACTTCATTGTTTTGAGCAAAAGCATAATATTACACTATGTAAATGTACCAAAAGTATCCAGACTGCTACATGAACATTTAGAATATTTTCAGATTTTTGGCTATTACTGTAGTAAATATTCCCGAACATATCTGCTAAATCTTATACATATGTATCTGCAAGTGAATCCAAGGTAATTACTCAGCAATGCAATAGTTTAATCAACTGCATTTTAAACTTTGATAGATATTGCAAGTAGCACTCCTAATCGGTTGCATCAATTTATACTCTCATTACAACACAGTTTTCATCTGGAGCAAATCACAAAACCTAAACGTTAGTGACAGAAACACACATTCCTAGAAACTACATATTCTTTCATCTACAGCCTTTTAATGACAACTGTGTCAGATGCGATCTCAAAAAACTGAAAATCCTTTTGGCTTTGCTGAGCACTGGGGACATCCTTTTTCTCAAAGACAAAGTACTTGTTCCTACCGGCCAGCTTTTTGGAACTTGGCCAAAATTCATGGCTAACTGCTTCCTTTGTATATTCTAATGATAAAATATTCTATTATTCTGTTTTTGTAAAAAGTGCAATAACTTCACTTTTGTTAAACATAACAATTCAAGAGCATGCAGATATCATCGAGAAAGTATTTATACAAAGGAAACAGGTAGCAGTCCTGGAGAAGTGCTTCAAATTCTATCACTCGGGCTGTCACATGGATTCCACCGCCTATTGACATTAAAATAAGAAAAGTAACCTATATGCAGAAAGAAGGTTGTATTCACATTAACATTCATGAAGGCTGAGCAGCTGTAGCCCTACACATTAAATAGGGAATATATCCTTTGTCTATTGATGAGAAAATGTCTCAGTGATAAATGGTTACAGACAGGGGTGTCACAAGGGCAAGAGCACACAGAACAGCTCCGACAAACTTTAAACAATTTTTTTTTGGTCGTCTTCTCCTGCAGTTCTTTTTGTAGCATTGTAGAGCGCAGTGCCTACGCCCTCAAATAAAAGAAAAATATTGCAGTGCAGAATTCCTAACCTTTACTGAGGCACTTCCCGGGAAAACAAAAAACATACTCTTGAAAATAATTTAAAACAAAGCTTCAAAGACTTCATGATCCATAAATATTCAGACATTCTGAAAAGAGGCGCTTTGCACCCTGCACCCCGCCTGTTCGTGTCTAAAATGTATGCTGTCATAAGACAGCATGGTCGTCAAAGTGCAAAGTCTGTAAGGTCAACATGGGGAGACGTTAGGCACGTCGTTAAAATGCTATACACTCATTTACATAAATTCAAACCCATTATCATAGTCATTTAGTAAATTTGTGAGAAAAATCATATATGAAGTCATGAGTTTGTTAAGAACAAACTAACATCTCATAGACCCCAACAGTGACTACCAATGACTTTCGGTTAATTTTCAAAACAAAACCAATCAAGTTACAACTTGTGGACAGCTTTGTCTCACTCAGAATAGAAAGCCTGAGAACCAGGGCTCGGGGGCACACATTTCCCGGGGCCTGACTCTAGGTGGCTCACTTTCTTCACCTATAAACACAAAGGCTGCAACCACTGTCGCCCGACGCCCTAGGGTTTCTCTCCAGTATTCTGCCCTTTTGCAGAAGTCTAGAGGATTCAGCAGGAAGAGTAATAAGCATAGCACAGTTTTCTAAAACATGGATGTCAGCGCTGTGCTTTTGGGCGTCCTTCTCCACCCTACAGACACCTCTAGATGAAGAGCAAGAAGAAATGCACAACAACCCCCCGATAAATCCTCGGCACCTCCCCCTCAGTGTTTTCTAGACAGTCTTTGCCAGCGCTGTGCGGACGAAGGACAAAGGCGCAGGCGGCAGGTCGCCCGAGGTCGCAGGGTCAGCCCGCGGAGATAGTCTATGGGAAATGAAGGGGCGGGGCGAAGGGGATAAGTCATGGGCGGGGCTGGAATGCGGGCTCCGCCCCCGGTCCAGCGGCGTCCCTGCGCCTGCGCGCCCGGCTAGGCCCGTGGTTGGGGAGCCCCAGGTTCTGGGCTCGCCCTCGCGCCCCCGCCCTCCGCCTCCTCCCCCGCCCCTTCCCACTTCCGCCCGCTTGACGTGATGACGCACGGCAGGTTTGCGGACGTGGCGGCGGCGCAGGGCCCGGAAGGCGGAGACGTTGGCGGCAGCAGTGGTGGTGTCGGCGGGGTAGGCGGACGGGGCCAGCAAAAAACGGAGGCTTGGCCATGAACTGGCCCGGGACGGCGGCGGACCTGGCAGTCGTCTCCTGGTTGCGTTCCGGCTGCTAACGGGACAGGTAAAGATGGCGGCGAAAGGTGGGGGGCTGCGCCCGTCCTGGCCGGCGGGGTGGGGCCCCAGCTGCACCCTCGCTGGAGGCGGCGGGGAGCCCTCGGCCGCAGGTGGGGCGGGAGCGGCTGCTCGGGGAGGAGACCCCTTGGCAGGGGAGGCCTTCGAGACCAGCCCCACGTAAGCCTCTCGTTACACTGCCGGGGAAGCAGGCTCAGAGGAGGGACTCCTACCTGCCGGATTCCCGGAGCAATGCTTTTCCCACCCAGACACATCACGTTTCTCCCACAGCTTTGTGTTTGTGTTGAATATTCGCTGATCTTATCTCGTCCACATTGTCCAAGTGTGATTGTGTGATTTAAAAATCTGAGATTTAATGCTCGCAGAGGATAACAGGAAAGGAAAACGCTAGACGTGTGGAATGGAGAGGGAGGGAAGTTAAGTTTTTAAAAATTGAATTTGCGCTGGAGGATACGGTCCCTGTGATACTGTCCCAGTGCTTGACTAGCTTGTGCCCTCTGGCCCTTTTATTGCTCCCTGGTTAAGGAGTGTCAAAGAGAAACACCCAACAGCAGTTATCACACAGGACGAAGGTGTTCGGGAAACCATTTTTAGTTGCAGACTAAGCTGATGAACGCTTTAACGCGGTATCCATTGGGAATTTATTTTCTCTGACGCTTGTAATCTATGTAGTATGCAGGTTTGTTTCAGTTTTCTGAAGAGAGGACTCGTGCTTTTTTCCTACCCGAAAAAAATTAAGACAGGTAAAGAGAATTGAACCAGATGACTGTGTGTACTTTCTTCTGTATGTAGTTGGCTCAGACAGTTATCTGCCTGGGACAGTCTACCTTTTCACTTCAATTCTACACAACCAGCTCTTGATTATTCAGAAAAGAATACCCTGTTTGTGGTAGTCTGCTGCCTGCATTTTGTTATAAAAGGGAGTGAAGTGATAGTGAGACAGATGAATGCTAGTCTTTAAATATTATTTAGGGGCCGGCCCCGTGGCTTGGTGGTTAAGTGAGCGCGCTCCACTGCTGGCGACCCGGGTTCGGATCCCGGGCTCGAACCGACGCGCTGCTTCTCCGGCCATGCTGAGGCCGCGTCCCACATACAGCAACTAGAAGGATGTGCAGCTATGACACACAACTATCTACTGGGGCTTTGGGGGGAAAAAATAAATAAATAAAATCTGTAAAAAAAAAAAATAAATAAATAAATATTATTTAGGAACATATCATGGAGAGAGGTTGATGTAAATATCAAAAATGGCTTTGGGGCAGTGCTCAGTGATTTTCAGCTGTACTAAGCCAGTTTGGGGTTCTAAGAACAATTGATCAGGGAGAAGAAGTGTAAAGGGCAGCATAAATGGGTCAGTATAGCCACGTGTAAATTCCTATGTATTAAGTGGTTCTTAACTTTTTAAAATCATAGACCCCTTCTGAGAATACGAAAACAATAAATATTCTCCCAGAAAACTGTACGTATGTATAAAATTTTGCCTAGAACTCGCACTCATTCCTTAAATTAAAAACACAGGATAGAAAAGACTTGGTTAAATAAGTAGAAATAAAAGTATTATCTATTTTAGGTGAAAGTGAGATACTCTTGAGAATTAAATAAAAATAGAGCATCTGTGATTTACTGTGGTATTAAAACAAAAAGTTTAATCTTTAAACTTGTTAGAGTTGTCACTTTTTGGAATTCCTTGAAGGGGGGTAGGTGTGATCATGACTTCAGAACTGCTTTGGAGACATAAAATGTGGGTAGCTTTCCTTAGCTGCGGTCAAGTTAGGAATCCCAGTTTATGGTAATAAATAATGTAGCATCTGGGGGAACAGGTGAAATAATCTACTTTATAATATATAGCTATTAGTTATCTATGTTATCTGAATAGAAACCCTTCAGTTTTTAAAGCATTACAGTGTTGCCATAGAGCAGGGTCAGAAACTGATTTTCAAGGGTTGGATTTGACTGTATGAAATAGTTCCCAAAATTTATAAGTATGTGCTTCTATAGAGAGTATAATCTTATTGTCATCCATATTACAAATTCTGACTTTTGGAGTTGGTCTTTTCTGATTTTTTTTTTTTTTTCACTTGATACTTGTCATAGTATTCACAGCTGATCTGAGCCCTTCTTTGAGACATTATTTTGCCTTGGCTTCCATGACACATTTTCATGGTTTCCTCTTCCTCTCAACACTCCTTTTCCTCTTCTTTTAGGCTGGATTTCCTACACAGAACGGCTTCATTCTTCAAGGCTCAGTCTTGGACCCTCTTTTCTTGTTCTCTGCTCTCTTGCTTAGTAATTCATCTACACCCACAGCTTCAGTTACTACCTATGTGCAGATGAGTCATGAAATTATATTTCTAACCCAGACATTTCTGAATTTGACTATATTGCCCACTTGGCTACTTGACATGCTTTTTGGCTGTCTTACAGGAATTTATAATTATAGCCCCCCTCCCCCAGGCTCTTCTTCCAGTGTTCCGTATCTTAGAGAAGGACACCACCATTTACTCAGTAATGCAAATTAGAGATCATGGTGTGAGCCTTTACTTGCTCTCTTCATATCTGAGCCACGTTATTAAGTCCTAAGTATTTTATCTCCAAAATGCCTTTTACTACCTGTCTACTTCTCTCCATCTTTTACAACAATAACTGAAAGCAATCTACTATCTTTTCTCATGTGAACAATTAATATGAAGCTACAACTGTGAATGTGGAATTAGTTTTTTGTGTTCTTGTGTTGTTCATTTTTAATGAGAATAGATCAACTTGATGAAGGTGAGTTGAGTGTGAGTATGCAAGTAAACAAGAAGTATTCATTGATGTATATTTTTAACTTAGGTCAGCTCTCAGTCTTAACAGTGTCTTTTCTGAAGTAGAAATAAACCTAGTGGTCTAAAATCTGTTCAGTCTTTATGGACCATAAATTAAGTTTGATGAAGACTTAGATAAGTTAAAGTTGAGTGAAAAGCCTCCTGGGAAGAAGTCCCTGGTTGAGAGCAAAATCGTGACCTGTATAGAAGGCACATACTGTACTAAATATAAATACTGAAGTTAGCGTGATCCAGGGAGGTAGGTAGGTAGTCCAAAAGAGATTTTAATCCCATGTGAATTTAAAATGCAGAATAAGCCTGAGAGTTTTGGGTTCATAAAAGTATTGTGTGTGTACATATAAAACATATACTTTGATTCCATGAGAACTACAAATGGTGTATGTGATCACTTTTTAAGACAGTACAAAATTATGTCCCGAGTTTTCTTCATGCACTCAGACTAAGGGGATCTTAATTTTTTGACTTAAAAAAATTTAGTAGTTTGGGCCGGCCCCGGTGCTTAGCGGTTAAGTGCGCGCGCTCCGCTGCTGGCGGCATGGGTTCGGATCCCGGGCGCGCACCGATGCACCGCTTCTCTGGCCATGCTGAGGCCGCGTCCCACATACAGCAACTAGAAGGATGTGCAGCTGTGGCATACAACTATGTACGGTGGCTTTGGGGGGAAAAAATAAATAAATAAAATCTTTAAAATTTAGTAGTTTGCCCTTGTTAAAATGTAACCACCCCCACATTTTGTGATATATAGTCTATAAGAATGGATTACCTCTTCCTCCCATCCCGTTGTCTCCACTGCCAAATATGTTCATTGTACTTAAACAGCTATAACTTGAACCTAAATTTTTAAATAACTAAAACCATTCTTTAAAAAAAAACAAAAGAAAAAGTGTCCTGAATGTAAGATTCATGTAAATCAGTCAGATGGATCAGCTACATTCCAAAGTTTTCTCTTCCTTCTTTTCCCCCCAGATTTTGACATTATGGCAGGAAGGCATCAGAGTCGTAGTTTTCCTCTTCCAGGAGCTCATTCAAGTGGTCAAGTACATGCCTTTGGAAATTGTACAGACAATGATGTGTTGGAGGAGGATGCTGAAGTCTATGAGCTTCGATCCAGAGGAAAAGAGAAAATCCGAAGAAGTACATCAAGAGATAGGCTTGATGACATTATAGTATTAACAAAAGATATACAAGAAGGAGATACTTTAAATGCAATAGCCCTTCAATACTGTTGTACGGTAAGTTTTAATTTGATTTTGCATACTGTGGTCCAAAATAAGTTATTTGTTCATAGCACAAATTGAAATAAATTCTGTGCCCTTTTGTCTTGCCTTTTTCTTCCTTCCTCCTTCTTTTCCTTCTTTCCATAGAAATCTGTATCATCTTGGTAGATGTTAACTTTTTAAATTTTTGTTTGTTTGTTTGTGAGGAAGAACCGCCCTCAGCTAACATCTGCCAAACCTCCTCTTTTTGCTGAGGAAGACTGGCCGTGGGCTAACATCCATGCCCGTCTTCCTCCACTTTATATGGGACGCCGCCACAGCATGGCTTGCCAAGTGGTGCGTCGGTGCGTGGCGGGATCCGAACCCGCCAACCCTGGGCCGCCGCAGCGGAGTGCACGCACTTAACCGCTTGCGCCACCCGGGCAGCCCCTAACTTTTTAAATGTTTAAGTGAATACTTTAATTTCTGTTTATTTCTAAATCCATGATTCTATTTTCAGTATGGAAAATCACCCAAATGTGTTATTTTTTTCTTCTTATTCAATTTGTAAGAGAATGTAGAAACGTATAAAGAAAAGTTTTTCCCTACCCCAGTTTCCTGAGATAACACACTTTGGTGTGTTTCTTTCCGTACTTTTTTGTGTACACACACCAAATATACATATATTTGGTATATGTATACATAAAAATAAAATACTTGGGAGGGGGGTTGGTGGTTTTTAAAATTGATTTATACTATGCCTGTTACTCTGCAAGTTGCCTTTGCCTTTTTCATTTCTTAGTATATCATGGACATGCCTCACACCTTATAGATCTAACTCATTATTTTATATAGCTATAAAATGTTCCATAGTATGGATGTACCATAATTATTAACCCATTCTCCTGCTTATGGATAGTCAGGATTTTCTCCGTGTTTTGTGTTGTGTGGTGAATATCATGACAACTATACAGTCATGCATTGCTTAGTGACGGGGATACATTCTGAGAAACATGTCATTAGGGGATTTCGTCGTCGTGTGAACATCATAGAGTGTACTTACACAATCCTAGATGGTATAGCCTGCTACACACCTAGGCTATATGGTGCTGATCTTATAGGGCCACAGTAATATATGTGGTCTGTCGTTGACTGAAACGTTGTTATGCAGTGCATGACTGTATCTTTAAATGGTGGTACCTTTATTTCTGTGGGATAGGTGCCCAAAAGTGAGACTGATAGTAAAAGGAAAGGTATATTTTTGTTTAATAGATATTAAACTCTATTTGTTTAAACCCTTAAACCCATCTTATATCTGTGTTATGTCCATCTTGCATTTTTAGCATGAAATCTGTTTTCATGTAAACACATTGATATGGAAACTGTTTAAAACATTGGTTTTCAAACTTTTTGTTCTGATACTTCCAATAGAATTTTGAAATGTATGTACTATGTACCTCCTTGCACATTTTAAAGTGAACTTCTTAAATACTTTCTAATGACTTAAAATAGTTACAAAGGGTGTAATTTCCAGAAAAATACGACCGTTAAAATACTCTTTAAATGCATGCATGCAGTTGTGAATACCACCAGGATTTTCTACCGGAAATCATTCATTTAAAACGTATATATGAGCTCTATTTTTAGTAGCATGAAATTTTATATCATTCTTTTTCTCCTTGATTAATATTTTCATCCTCCCCCCCAAAATCGTTCATAGTATAAAATATTTTAATACTTGAAAACCTTTTGTTGATTACCTGTGATAGTTCTCTGCAATGGAAACACACACATATATTTATAAATTTATATATATAAATGTATATAAATTTAAATTGAATTAAAAAAATTCCCTATGGCTATGAGGTTCTATGTATTACTTTTTTCCAAATAGAGTAATTATTGCAATTAGTCACAATTGATCAAAACAGATATATTACACATTTTGATTTAAAAATTTAATAAACAAAATATTTTATTGAAATGCATTTCTTGATGAGGTAAGAGCTGGGTTTTTTACAACTTGTTCATGTATGGCAACACCATTTATTCTTAAATCAGAAAACTTCTGATTTCATTTTTTAATGCAAATAAGCATGTGAATATGGGTTTTGTAGAAAAATAAGACCACTGAGAAATAGATTATAGAATCTGCCTTAGAAGGTCAGTGATGGAAAGTAATCAAGACTTTAAAATTAGGGGCAAGGCTAAAAATGTCAAGGTGGAGATCCACGAGAAGAGTGCGATCCATTAGTTTTCCTTTAATCAACCTAAATTTTCTTAGAAGAAGAGAAATTTGAAATGCCATCTGAATGATTAAAAATAGGTCATATTTCCAATGAGGTGAAAAGGAGAAAGTATTTCAGGCATATAACAGTGATGTGGAGAAGATTTCAAGGAGGAAATAAGGTGAACCACAGAGGAAGTTTAATAGGTGTTTCAGAAATGAGTGGCATAGACTCACTGGGATGAAGCAGTTTGAAATAACAGGAAGTTTGATCCATATAGTAAGCGAACAGCAAGGTAAGGGTTTAACAAGAGTGCTGTGAGATGTTGGGGACCCTGCTGGTGAATTGGAGGGCCTCCAATAAAGAGGTTATTAGAATAATTCAGATGAAGATGAGCAGGGCCTAGACTAAGATATTTGTAGTAAGGATGGAGAAGAAGCTGATAGAAAATGTATTTGGGGGAAATCACAGGATTATTAGCTTATATCAGCTGATTTAAAATGAAGAATGATGAAAGGCAATTAGCTTAACATTAGCAGAAAGGTGGCATTGGCCACAGAAGTGGGAAAATTGATACAACAGAGTTAGAGAGTTAAGATAAGCAACGCTCCCTTTGCCAGGAGCTCAGCTAGTAAAAAAAGATTAACCTTACAAAAGGATTTATCATTTTAAATATACAGTAGTTAGTACTGTATTCCACTTACAAATATTCAGCTTTAGGAATTATTAAAAATATGCCTGTTATAAAACAATGATAAGAGGAACAAAAAGGCCAAGGTTGGAATCCTAAATGCAGCCAAGGAAGATAGCATAACAGAAGAATTTATAGGGGATACTCAGAGACATAACCTAGGTAGATTCTAAACCTTGGAAGCCTAGATTAGAAAGAATATTGAGTAGTTATTAGTCAGAATATATGATACCAAGCAAAAGAGCATTTAAAGAAAATAGGTTCAGGCTTTTGGATTTGTCAGTGAAGCATCATTTGCCTTAAGAAAAAACAGTCTCGGGCCGGCTCCGTGGCTTAGCGGTTAAGTGCGCGCGCTCTGATGCTGGCGGCCCGGGTTCGGATCCCGGGCGTGCCCCGAGGCACCACTTCTCCGTCCAACGCGAGGCCGAGTCCCACGTACAGCAACTAGAAGGATGTGAACCTATGACATGCAACTATCTACTGGGGCTTTGGGGGGAAAAAAATGAATAAATAAAATCTTTAAAAAAAAAAAAGAAAAAACAGTCTCGAGGTAGTAAAATGACAAAGCACTCTATCTTCACTGTCTCCTCTCCTAGTTACTCTTTAATCCTCTCTCCCTCCTCCTCCCTCACGCACACTTCAGGGGAATTGCTTTTTCTAACAAGAACTCGCATTCTGTATCGGACTTGATCAGTAATCTGCAGTTGATCCAGTTCACTGCTCCTTCCTAAAAACCCTCTGTTTGACTTCCTTGATTCTTCAGGTTTCTGATTTTCCTACTATTAATATTGAATAACAGCTAACATTTCTTTAACATACTGTATATCACTGTTCTAAATGTTCTTCTACATTTTAATTCATTAATCTTCACAACAACCTTGGATGGTAGGTATTATTACTGTCATTTTACGTATGTGGAAACCGAATTGCAGAGAGGTTAAACAACTTGCCCGGAATCATACAGCTAGAAAGTGTCAGAGCCATGCTTCAAACTCAGATCGTCCATGCTTTTAACCACCATCATACATTGCTTTCCTGGCCACTCTTTCTTCTCTCCTTTGTGGATTTCTCTTACTCAGCATACCCCTCAAATGTTGGCATTCTAGGGGTCTTGCCTATGTCACCTTTTTCTCCCAGACTTTCTAGTGAATCTCTCTACTCTTGTGAATTCACTTACCATTTTTGCTGGTAATCCACAAATCTCTATCTCGAGCCAACATCACTCTTCTGAATTTCAGACATAACATCTATAACTGCCTATTGGACATCTTCCACTTGCATATTTCAAGCACCTTAAGGTCAACATGTATAAGATCTGCGTTCATTCTCTTTTTCTCTCTCCACAGTGTTCCATATCTCAGTGAATGGCATCATTATCCATTGAGTTGACCAAGCCAGAAATCTTAAGTTTTTTCCTAGATTCACTTTACCTCTATAACATCAATCAGGTGATAATGATCCGGGCTTAGGTGAAAGCATTGATGGAAAGGATGAATGGAACTAATAACTTAAAGGTAGTGGGAGAGCCTGGCATAGTAATTGGTAATCTAAGAAACATTCCCCTGCTCCTCCTCCTCACAATGGCAAGTAGATAGGATATACAGACAGGTTGAGGGACTGTATCATATATTGGGAAAGCTTATAAAAATGACTGGTCTTGGGGGTAGTTGAATAATTCATTTTCTTTGAAGTTGGAGTAGTGGCATCTTTAATATTTGTGGTTTTTTCCTTAATGATACATAAAATAATGGCATATCTTACAGTTGATGGCATCTTAGTTTTGATAAAATCTGGTAGTTTTAGTGGAGTAAGTTGACATTTGCCTATATTGCTAAATTGGAAGAAAGAATATAAGTATCTGTGTAATCCCTCCTTCACAACTTGTTTACAAGCAGCACAAGTGTGATATCTGTGCATGATGTGCAAAGAAACATCAAAGGATCCTAGAATCCACTTAAATAGCTAGCTAGCATTAGTGTTAGTAATATATTGGTGATAGTCAAAAGTAATTGGTGATTTCCTAAGACTGCTAGGTCAAACGTGGCACAGGGCTCGCCCTGGGGGCCTAGTGGTTAAGTTCAGTGTGCTCTCCTTCGGCAGCCTGGGTTTGGTTCTGGGGTGCAGACCTACACCGCTGGTTGGTGGCCATTCTGTAGTAGTGGCCCGCATACAAAATAAAGGAAGATTTGCCACAGTTATTAGCTCAGGGCCAATCTTCCTCAAGCAAAAAAAGGAGGATTGGCGACAGATGTTAGCTCAGGGCAAAATCTTCCTCAGCAAAAAAAAAAAAAAATGGTGCAGAACTGTTATCCACAAATAAAATCTCTCTGGGTGTGATAATTAATACTAATAATTAAGCTCAATTTTTTTTCCCTTCAAAAGTAACTGGGATGAATGAATATTGCTACCTCTATTTTGATTTAGAATTCAGTTGAATGTTGCTTTTTTTTCCCCCCACAGGTAGCAGATATCAAGAGGGTTAACAATCTCATCAGCGATCAAGACTTTTTTGCCCTTAGGTCTATCAAAATTCCAGTAAAAAAGTTTAGTTCATTGACAGAAACACTTTATCCTCCAAAAGGAAGACAGGCTTCACGTCCTTCATCTGTTCAATACGTTCCAGAACAACAGGAAATTTTGTCAGCTCATGATTCTCTTTCTTCCAGTGAGTTAGCTGGTAGCTTTTTAAAAGAAGTAGACCGAGACATAGAACAAATAGTAAAATGTACAGACACCAAAAGAGAGAATCTTAATGAAGTAGTGTCTGCCTTAACAGCACAACAGATACGTTTTGAACCTGATAACAAAAACATTCAACGTAAGGATCCTTATTATGGAGCAGACTGGGGAATAGGGTGGTGGACAGCTGTAGTGATAATGTTGATAGTAGGTATAATAACACCAGTATTTTATTTACTGTATTATGAAATTTTAGCTAAAGTGGATGTTAGTCACCATTCAACAGTGGATTCTTCACATTTGCATTCAGAAGTCACACCCCCATCACAGCAGAGAGAAATGGAAAATGGAATTGCTCCAAGTAAAGGAATACCCTCTGGCAGGCAAGGTGATCATAAACTACATAGTCAAGATGCTCAGCCGCCTGCTGCTCATCACAAAACGTAGCAATTAGCTCATAATTACACTCTTAGTGATCACATGTGCATCTGGAATGTGGTGAAGCACTTACATTCAATAACCACTTCAAAGGCAGAATTTAGGGAGATTGAAGATCCTTTTGTTTTTCACCTTTTTTGAGCCATTTACAAATGGATTGAGTATCAAGTCTCTACAGTTGCTAGTTGTTGATACTGAGAGCAGTAAATCCATCTATCTGCTATATCAGTGCTTAAAGCAGAAATGAATTTAAATATGTGTCTACGAAGTTCTTGGAAAATGCATCATTTTTCTTATTCAAGATTGGTTATGTTTAAATTTTAATTTTTAATTGTTTTTTGGCTTAAGGTTATTAATGTTAAGTTTATTAAGCAGGATAACTATAGCATCAGATGTCTCAACTGAAGAAAATTTACTACTGTGAGCCATCAAAATATTTAGTTGCAAAAAAGTTGTTTGATTCTAAAATTACTTATGATAGCACATACTTAAAACTCCATTTTGCAACTTTTTAAAAACATATTTAGCACATATGCTATGAAAACATAAGTTGAAACAGAAATGGGAAAGTAACATCCAGTGTCTATAACAGATGCTAAGAAATAGATTATTATTGTTAAGCCCCCAAAGTAATGGTTGGGAAGTTGCTGTTTGGTCACTAGAACACTGGATTAGGTCAAGACCTAGAAGTCATCTTTGTCTGTTAAAGAATTGCTGCCTCTGCTTCTGTTTTTTAAGTGATTATATTTGCCTCTGTTATTTGAAAGCACTTTTGTACATCTTTGATGAAAAGTGTTATACATGTACAGATTAGCATTATTTAGGAAATAATTCCTTACATACTGTGATAAGTTGTTTCTGTGTTACATGTAGTAACATGCCTTAATTACATTCAATGCCTTATAATATTACTTTATGTAAGCTAGTATAATTTTTAGAGTTAAAGTGAAGCATTATTTCAGGTGGTCCGGTTGGATTCATAACAACGCTGTATCAGTTTGTCTCCACCTTCACTATCGAGCACAAGTTCATGGGATCAAAACATATTTTCATTGTCTGCCTGTGTTCTATTGCTGAAAATGGTTCATTAAGCAAAAGTAAGCGTAAAAAGACCTTTTGCAGTGGCAATACCAGACAGATTGCTTTCTTTATTGATCCCTTAACCTCTGTTTTTCAAAGAGAAAATGTCCAACTTAGACCTTTTTTTCCCTGAACTATAAGCTCAAATTGGGGGACAGAGGCCAAAGGTGTGTGGATTGGTTGAAAGGTCTTGATCGTGCCACTTTTTTAAGATCTGCTATGGATCACAGTCTGGCTAAATAAGAAGTGTTTGCATACTGATTTCATCATTAAAAGTGTGTGTTTTTTGAAATGTAACCAAAATGATTGCTTAGAAGCAAGATTGGGTGGAGTCTGGATTGCCTGTTTTGTGTACAATAAAGTATGTACTTTAAGATATATAATACCACCTCATTTTCTGGGCATTATTTCCTAATTTTTAATATTTCAGCTTTTTGACTAGTCATTTTTTATTTCAAACTCCAATCTTGATACAAAATGGGGTGAATAAATATATATGGTAAATGAGTTTTTATGTACTTTCAAGAGCTAAGTATCGTAAAAAGACAGGACAAAGAAGTCACACATTAAAAATGCCTTTACATATATTAGAGGACCTTAGACAGTTACCAAAAAGTATTAATATGGAAGTTGTATCAAGTTGATTTTTTTAGTAATGCTTTTAAAGTTTGAAAAATTGTTTTCATGTGCCTTGGGCATCTTGAAAAGAGGAGTATGATCTTCCTAATTTATGCTCAGTGTTAACTTGGTCAGTTTACATTGTATTTATAAAGCCTGCTGAAAAATCAAGTTTTGGAGAAGAAAAGACATTATTTTAGGGTAGGATGGGCTATAAATGTCTTCTGAAGAACTTTGTTTACATCAAATTGATGAAATTACGGAGAGTCAGTGATTCCTTTTTGTTAGTGGTGCTTTGAAATTGTGATAGAGAGGTCTGATTTCCAAAATAAGTAACTTATTTTTAAAGGAGTGAGGTGTACTATGACTTGATTAAAAGCCATTTCTGTCTTGCAGAGTGTCCTGTTCCTTGAAAGAAATATTTCATATCCTTATGACACAGTCTCCTTTTTCTATATATTTGAATTACATATTTTTAATTGAATATAATTTGAATTATATGTAATTCTATATATAACGATTAGAATTATAGATTCTAATCATGAAGTGTCATTTATAAAAGAAAAAAGAATTTCCTAAGCATTTAATAGTTTTGGAATAATTTTAGCTTTTAAAAAGTACTATTGTACATCAAAATTTGTAGCAAATGCAGATTACTTTATAAAATTTAATAAAATAAGAAAAGTTATGATAGTGTGGATTTTAATTGTGTTGAAACTCTTATTTGAATTTGCTTTGAGGCTTATATATATATATAATATGTATATGCAAATGTAAAAGTAACATGAATTATTGCATTTGGTTCACTTAAGAAATTGGAGTTGCAAGTGAAGAAAAATCTACTTTTAGGGCAGATTCTTTTTTAAAAAAAATCTGGGTACAAATGATTAAGGTTGTTTTGAACTAATGGATGCCATTTAAATTGAATATTTTTTTGCCATCCTACTCCTAGAAAATTATGGGATTGATGTCCTCAAAAGATATATTAAGATGGATTATGGAGTCTGCTGGCCACTTAAGAATTAGAAAGAAGACTGTAATAATGTTAAATTAACTTCTCCGGACGACTTCTTGTTTTTTTAAAGCTTTTCTTTCTCTGGACTGTACTTGCTTGAACAGTGGCCTGAAGAGTTCTTTAAATGAACCACTACTTAGTAATTAGTTCTTTGTAAAGGTATCTACTTCTAAAATTACCTGCTTGGGAATATGAAGGATACAGTTAGAGTTTTAGAAATATCAGGAAGCAAGGCTCAAGTCAAAGTGTTACAGGGTAAGGGGGAGTTTTAGAAGTTTGTATTTAAATGGTGTATTATGATTGGAATCATTCTTATTTTGAATTACAACAGTGTTGCTCAGGAAATCAGTATTTTTCTTCCAAGTATGTGCATATTGCACTGTTAGATCATAGAAGTATCTGAATGCTTTATTTAATTCTTCTTATGTATGCAAATACTATAAATCTTTTGTATAATGTATTTTATACAAATGCAAAATGGAATTGTAGAACATTATGTTAGCATGTACATCTGTAAAACTGGTTTTTAAAATTTTTTGCCCCTTATTTTTCATATTTTAAAAGATATGTAAAATTTAATAAAGTTTCTATTTTATTATTCAATCTAAAAGGGAAGCTGGTGAATTTAATTGAATAAAGCAAACCTTTTCTCCTCTTCTTTCAAACTATTTGATACAGAAATAACTGTGTAAGATAGATCGAATTGCCAAATGTTTACCAATTCAGATTTCCCCCTTGTTATACTGAAACACAGTCTACTGGATTATTTATAAGATGTAAGTGAAATGAAATGAAATGAAAACAAATTTCAGTTGAATATTCTTTGGGGGATCTTTGATCTCAGGGGAGAAGACCTCTGAGGCATGGTCCACAACTTCTTAGCAAGTTGTGGATCAGTCATGTAACAATATGCTCTATTTGTATATAAATCTTAATATGAAATGGAAAACCTTTCAAAGCACTACAAGAATATTAATTTTTAAAAATCAGCAAAAAATTCAGAAAGTTCTTTGGAGCTTTTATTTATTAAATGGAAGAATTTGTGGTGTAATCCTTTTTTTTTCAATTTTTAAAAGCATCTTGGGGCCGGCCCCGTGGCTTAGCTGTTAAGTGCGTGCGCTCTGCTGCTGGCGGCCCCGGTTCGGATGCCGGGCGCGCACCGACGCACCGCTTCTCCGGCCATGCTGAGGCCGCGTCCCACATACAGCAACTAGAAGGATGTGCAGCTATGACATACAACTATCTACTGGGGCTTTGGGGGGAAAATAAAAAAAAAAAAACTTAAAAAAAAAAAAAAAAAAAAGCATCTTGGTCTTTAAAATTCTATTTATAGTTTTTTCTTAATAAAAAGGAAGTTTGCACTAACTCCAGAGCCTTTAACTTTATTAAGGCAAAGCCATTGACACTGTACATTTTAAGGTGGTAGCGAAGGAAAGGTTAACAATATCCTCTGAATTTCTTAGGATTCTCTGGGATCCAGATCTCTTAGTTTATTATCACAACTTTAATCACCTTGAGTTTTCTTTTGTTGGTTTGTTCAAGAATATCTGATACTGGCATCCCTGCTGTAGAGGAGGAAGACAATTCTTCTACCCTCTAGGTCCTTCTGGCTGGCCTAAGAATTATATTGACATGAGAATAACAGGAGAAAATCAAAGTTTAATAACATGTTTATTAAACATGTTATTTCCTGGGAGAAACCCAGGAACGCTGAGTAACTCACCAGAATGGCTGAGGTCGCCACCTTAAATACCATCTTCGGCTAAAGACAAAGGAGGATGTTGGGGGTATCGGGAGTCAGTTATGGGAGATTGCCAGAAAAAGCGCAGTAAACATGAGTAAGGTTATTATGCAGATTTAAGTCCTTGCCTTTTGCATTGATTGATAAGAGTTTCTAGAGATAATGTCATCCCCCTTCTTGCTGGTACAGAGAGGGAGACACCTTTGCAAATGGAGATTTCCCTTACAAATGTAAATGTCTCTTACAAAGGGTAACTTCTTGGTTTCAGAGCGTCTCCCCTGTCTGCAGTTTGTTAAAAGTAACTATAGCAAAATAATCCTCATGCCGAAGAGACACATCTTGAGGTGGCCAATTCTGCTCCCCTATGCTGCTCAAATACATAGTTATTTTATTAGGTAAAATCAGTATTAACAAATTTGTTTTCTCTATCAAATATATTTAAGTAGGTTCAAAGTAAAACATCTTAATATAAAACAAAGGACACAATTTTGTTTTGTAAGAATTTAATGTGTAAACAAATACAGAAAAATAAGCATTATAGCAACAAAACAGTTTTTTGCCCATTATATAGCAATTTTAAATACACTTCACCAACAAGTACTTCTTTAAATATAAGAGGGTATCTCTGCATTAAAGTTTACCATCCTATGGAATAATTTCACAGTCTCTCGAGATTTTAAGCCAGGAAAACAAGATTCATGCTGGGAAAGCAGCCTGCAAATACTTCCTGCCTGTTTTAGTCTACTTTAAACTTGTAAAAAGATCCTCCAAAGGGGGAAGACAGCATGCTTAAGGGAGATGCCTGGGCGCTCCCAGAGCAAATCCTGCAGGACTAAATCTGTGGAGACAAACTGAAAGCTAGGAAAAGAAATACCTGTTATCTTAGGTGTATTTGCCTGATTCAAGCAGTTACCTGCAGATTTATAATAAAGCAAGTCAACAGAACCATAGAGAGAAAATTTCTATAAATTAAATGGTATTTGGCTACAGTACTAAGAAGGGAGAGAATAAAACACCTATGTTAATTACCACTCCTAAATGACTACTTGCCCATTACAACTGAAAACTTTATGTGAGGTTTCTAGTCTAAGTACAGTAGATTGCTGCAAAGTAGACTTGTTTCATTCATGTTTTCCATTTAGAATCTTTAAATTTTTTGATAAGCTCCTTTAAACAAGAAATAATTCACATATGATCAACATAGCACTGAACTAATAATGGTCCTCACATCTATCTTGAATTATCTGAGGAAGTATTACAATTGAAAGTGATCTTTTTCCTGAGAAATCTCGCCATGTTACAAAATGGCACAAGACAATATAAATTTTCCCCACCAGAATACAAGATGGGAAAATCATATTACAACATATTTCGTGAAGAAAACATGTTTGTTTCTCAAAACCGTGTTTCCAATCTCTCCAAGCCACAATTTTTTAGAGAGTGAGAACCAAATTTAAATTAAGTGATCATTTCTATAAGGTAAGAGGATGAATACATATGGTAAATTTTGGTTGATGTTTAAGCAATTTTTATAGGACATTGTTTATAAGTGGAGAAACTAAGGCACAGAAAACTTAACCAAGCTCAATTTCAAGGTTGAGTTTAACAGTAAAGGTAGAAATGTTGAACACAGTGCTTTGATTCTCCGAGGGTAATGGGTGATATCTTCCCAAAAGGGAAAAATAAATTTCTTTTAGGGGATAATGTTAATAAGTCATTTTTGAAATATATAATATGAATTTCCTTGAAAATCTTTGGCATTTTTGGAGGCTGAGGTTTTTAAGTATCCCCCCCAATATAAAAGGCAGGGGAGCTAGTTTTTAATCGAAACAAAAAAGATTAATCTTAATTTCAAAATGACCTGAGTTTTATTCCGCACTGTTATATAAATCAGTTGGCTAGCTATGAGTCCTGTAAAACGTAACAGAGGCCACTATAGCTTACAGATTTCACATGCATGCATTCTGCAATGAGATTTATATGATGAGAACTTACTCCACATTTTCGTAAAGTACAAAATTAAAATGTCTCAGTCTAATTTTTCATAAGCTCAACTATTGAAAGATATCAAACTTATTGCAGTGGGATGATTAAGTCATATATTGTATGGCATGAAGTTAGCCCCAAATTCAAGTATTTTTAATATTCATCCCAGGTCTTTGTACTGGCTGAGATGTGAGCTATGAAATTTAGATAGCTTAGATTGGCATTTTTCCCTATTTTGATCACAAAACTTCTAATCTCATAAAATATGCACTTGTAAGAGCTCAGATAGGTTTATGTAGTCACAATATAGTAGCACAGAACATACCATGTAAAAGTAAAAGATAAAATTATTTTCAAGTCTCTGTTTTTAAAGTGCTCCATGTGCAGTACTAAATCAACTTTCAGATTACAGAAATCCATTATGATGACTAGTAATAGTTTTACAAAAGATCAGCAGTTAAACAAGAATAATTTGTTCAAGTATGAATACATAGATTAAAAGATGCAAAAACTCTTTAGGCACATTCTAATCCAAATAATACAAAAAAAAAATCCAGTTGAATACATAAGAGGGATGACAGAGGTATTGAGAAGGAATGTCAGAGTGTCAGAGACTAACTGGTAAGTTAACTAGTACACAAACTCAAAGTGGTTCTGAATGTTTTGGTAACAAATATTTGTACAACAAAACAGGAACAAAAATAAAATACTCATTCTTTATCAGAAATAAAATAGAAAAAAAATCTGTCCAAATGTTCAGAAGCTGTAACATAGAAATATTTTTTGAGAAATTTCACAGCTAATAGGTTGCTTCATCCATGTTGTCATCACTGTCTGCGCCAAAATCATCTCCATCTTCAAAGTATGAATTAATGTAGTCATTTTCCTAAGTGAAATGGTACATTCCTCAGTAAACATTAAAACGAATGAGTAGTAACACTATTAAAGAATCTAATGTAGGCTGTCCCTTTAATCTAGGTTTATAAATATCAAATTTAGGTATTAAGAAAACACACCAGGCTTAAAAGAAATCTCTGCTATTTCATCTGCTTAAAGAACATATTAGCTCTCACTCACATCCACTTGTGCTGCTTTCTCCCTCAAGACCACCACCTCCTACTATTCTCAGGCACCAACTAGCTAAGAGAACATGAAGGGATGGCCATTACACCTTAGTAGAATGACACACTAAATCATTACACCTTAGTAGGATGATACTCGGTTTAGTCAGCTGAATCACTAAACACTCAGTTCAAAAAATGTAGAGACACTCAAGAAACAAAGCCGATTTCCATGAACATTCACTAGATTACGACACAACTGAGGTTTTCAGTCACAATGCATAAGTGAGCATAAGCTTAGTTAGGGATTTTTGCTTCCTATCAAAAAAAGGCCTCAAGACACCAAGTCAAACCCAGAGGATGCCATATTACATTCCATCCAGGGCCCTTCAGTTTCCTTTAGGTTAAGGGGGATTAAGCCTCTGGGAACATGCCAATTCTCATGGCTGAGGAAGACTATTATCCATGTAAATGACTCAAGATATCTCTGTGCTTTCTATCAACAATTCAAAAAGCCATTTTGGATACAGATAAAAGAAATTTAAGAGCGTTATTAACCAATTGCAGTGTATAGACTGTATTTGGATTCCGACTGGAACAAACAAAAAACTTTTTTCAAGACAATTCAAAAAATTTGAACACTGGCTGAATATTTGATGATATTAAGAAATATTTCACTGTTAGGTGTAATAATGATATTGTGATGTTGTTAATGAGCCCTTATTTTGAGTAAGTCTTGAAATATTTATGGATGAAATAATACAATGCCTAAGATTTGCTTTATAATAATCCAAGACAGATGGGGGATGGAAGTGGGGGGACAGGAGTGGACTGAGTGGATGAATGAATGGTTGAAAGACTGGCTATGAATTGATCACTATTAAAGCTGGGTGATAAGTCCATAGGTGTTTATTTTACTAGTCACCAGATTTTTGTACATGGTTGAAATGTGCCATAAAAAAATTAATCTCGGGGCCGGCCCAGTGGCGTACCGGTTAAGTTCATACATTCCACTTCAGCGGCCCAGTGTTCGCCAGTGTGGATCCTGGGCACGGACCTACTCACCGCTCATCAAGCCACACTGATGTGGCATCCCATATAGAAGAGCTACAACTCTACAACTATGATACACAACTACGTACCGGGGCTTTGGGGAGAAAAAAGAAAAAGAGAAAGATTGGCAACAGATATTTAGCACAGGGCCAATCTCCCTCAAAAAAAAAAAAATTAATCTCTACATCTCTACTGTCTACGGCAAAAATTATAATAGAGCAAGAAATAGAGACTATTCTCAAAAGAAAGTCTCCTGGGTATCAGCTTTTATAGTATCTGCATGATGGGATTCTATATATAATTTATATAAATAATGCAAGAAAGGTAACTTGTATCATTCAGATATATATTTCACTACTTTGCCTTCCCTAAACACTGCAAGTTGCTGCATCTAGCTAAGACCCGTACCATTTCCAGGAAGTTGGCCTGGTTTCTCTGGTGCCAAGAAATCCAACAATGTCTGGAAACCTGGCTGAAGCCTGGGGCCAGTGTACTGGGGAAGGGTGGCATGGTTGAGAGTTTAAGTGAGGCCACCTCGTAAATGAGATCTTGGCAAGCACACTGGTGTGGAAATACAAGCAAGCCAATTTGCACATAAAAGTAGAAATGAGTGAGGAAAAGATACTCTACTATTCCAAATGGAGCATATGCCGCTTGTGTTTTAGACATGAGCACCTCCAAACATGTTCAGTGATTTACATTAGGTAATTTTGTGATGTTAGTAATCTTGGTACAGATACCAAGTGAGAACTCGTTTAAACTAAGGGCTTAAATGGTTCTTGGCTTTCATTTGAGTCCTTGCTTTTTTCTTTTATTATGTCAAATTAATAAACAGGAGGCCAAAATGGGAGCTCTCCTGCCCTAGCAGATAGCAGAGCCCAACAGGAAGAAGAAAGACTTCCTCTTCTTGACCAGCAAGAAGCTCAGCCAATCAGAGACTGTCACAACTCAGCCAATGAAAAGCCACTACACACGGAATTATCAATTCCTCCAATAGACTCTGTTTACAGTAGCCCTCCCAACCTCCTCTTCCTGCTACAGAAGAGTTTCTCCTCTCTTGGCTGCTGGGGACTTGCATGTGGCTCACCATGGGTGCAGACCCCAAATTGCAATTCTTTGCTGATCCCGAATAAACCCATTTTTGCTGGAGAAACAACTGGCTGTTTAAGGTCAACAATTATGCTATTCAAGACTGAAGAAAGAAAAACGTTTGTATTTCCTCAATTTTACATATAGATGTTACACAGATAATTTGCTCCATTTTACTCTTCAAAATAAAATACTTGTCAAATCCTTAATACATCAGATAAACTAATTAGCACTAATTTTCATTCATTAATTAATTGCTAAAAAGAGCAAGAGGATAACTCTAAATCTAGAAAGGCGTTAATTGAGCTCTTCTTTCCTTCCGTTACCCACCCTCACATTCAGAACATATATCATTTCTCTGTTAAAATGGAAAAAAAATTTTTTTTAATGAAATGTGGTTATATAAACCCACTGGTGGTGTTTAGTACCCTGCTAAGGCCCAACACAGAATTCTGAAACTACTAGAATCCTGATGTTTGCTGTTCTTGTTAGAGGAGATCTTAATTTTAACACAGCTCAAGTCAAGCAGACTTTATAAACAGCATTCCAAAAGCCAGTCTTGTCTAGAAAACTTTACCACTACCCACTTGAAGCTAGTAGCATGCCACCACCCCCAAGGCCAGATGTGAGAACCAAAAATGTCTCTAGACATTACCAAATACCCCTTGCAGGGCAAAATCACCACCAGTTGAGAACCACTGGTCTATGCAACAAGCTTTCAAACACAATCCACCCTTGGCTCCGTCCAATCCCAGCAACTAAGCTTTCTAAAATACACAGAGGATCATACTACTCCACTGCTTAAAACCCTTCAATGGCTCCCCACAGCACTCAGAATAAAGTCCTATTTCTCGGCCTGGCATTCAAGCCTCTTCATTCATCTCTTCTTCAGCTTCATCTCACCACACACCCCCACTTACACTCTCTAGTCTAGCCATACTGACTTACCTGGCCAATTATACTATTATGCCACACTCAATCACCTGCAAGCCTTCTCCATATCTGCAAGTTTCCTCCACTCCATTTCTCATCCTTATCTGACTAACTCTTCAGGTCTTAGAAGTGTATTATAATTCTCTCCTTTCTTGTGTGTCTGCCCACTAGACCAATAACCTTGAGGGCAGAACTGTATCTTATCTTGATATTCCCCTTGCCTAGTACATTCCAAGCATACACGTAGTGTGCAATTACTATAGGTTGAATGAAAAAGAACTGAGGAGTCATAAGTATATATAAGGTAACTAAAAGTTTGGATAAGGATGCAATCAATCATGGGGATTGTAGAAAGAAAAAGAAGTTCAAGGGAAGAACTCTGAAGAATACTGACATTTAAAGACTAGAAAGAAGAGAAGAACTCAAAAGAGACCATGAAAAGGCAGCATAAGTAGGAAAAAAACAAGAAGCGTTGTGTCACAAAAACCAAAGGAAGCAATCATGTTTGTCTGTGGCTTGGCACCCAGGCCAATGCCCGCATGTAGTAGATGCCTGTAATTGCCTTAAATTGTTGAATTTAAATAAAGGAAATAATATTTTAATAATGAAGTTGTGAGCAGTGTAAAATGTTGCTTGGCAACATTTGGCAAACTTGGTGGCAATAATTTCAATAGTATGTAGGTGGAACCCAGATTAAAAAGAGCTAAATAGGGGGAGGGGGAAGTGAGCAAGTGATGACAGCTGAAGAGCTTTCCAAGAGATAGAAGAAGGGTTGGAGGGGGAATGTGGGGAACATATTTTACAATGGGAGATGAACATGTTTTAATACATGAATGGAAGAGATGAGTAGAAAAAGAAGTTGAAAATGTGCAAAGGAAATGACATGAGGATTATGGTCCCCAAAAAGGGCAGGACAATTAGCCCCAAATAGGATGAAGGATATTTCTTCCATTGATAATAAAGAGAAGAAGGAGGCAGAGGACATGAAATTAGGGGAGTTTCCTCTTGATGGCTTCATTTTCTGTATGAAGGTGCTACTATCTGCTAAAAGTGAAAGAAATGGTAGTCAAGGAGAGGGATTAAGAAGAAAGAAGATGATGTAAAGTAATGGCTGTAGAGACCTGACTTGACCAGAGAAACACAGAAAAATGTGTTAGCCAGCAAAACGGGGCTAGTGCTTTTTTAGTGGCATGAGTTTCTGTGATTCCTCAGAAAAGCTCAATAGGCAGGTTTGGGGGGGAAAAGGGGGAGACAGTGGAATTGATCAAAGTTGGTTTGGTCTAGAGTGTGTGCTGGGAGGACAAGGGATAAGAGTAATGGCAAGAAAGAAGTTGAAGGGTGAGCAGGGGTCTAGGCTCCTTAGGGAAGGAAATTGAGACAGGGAACCAACAAAGTAGAAATAGAGGATCAAGGTCTGGCAGTCTCAATCATGTCAGCCTGCAGGAATAAACAAGTGAGTGATCTGGAGAGAAAGTTGGAGACAAATGTGATACGTTTAATTTTAAAATGTTTGGAGTTAAAATTTATCTGGAAGAATAAGCAAAGAATACTCAGGAAAATTCTCAAAAAGAAGAGTAACACGCCTAAAAATATTAACAAATAACCAGAAGCTTCTATTAATTGGAACAGCAGAGTGATGGTTCAGAAACAGATCAATGGAACAGAGTCCAGAAATACATCTAAGTAGATGTGGGAATCTAATAACTGATAAAGGAGAACTTCAAATGAATGAAGAAAGCAAATTATTCAATAAATGAGGTTAGCAGCAGGCTAGCCATTTGGAAACAGACAAAGATGGATCCATATTTCTCTCTTTACACCAATATAATTTCAAAAGAATCCATAATTCAATGCAAAATAATTAAAGCATATAATAAAAATTTCACAGTTGGAACAGTTTCAGGAGAAGATTCAGAGTGTGGTGTGCGAAGCTGAAACGGAGTGAAACAAAGGCCACTGGAATGGAGAAGAAACTCTCAGCCTAGAGTTACTGCATGAGGTGTCTACCAAGTCCCAAAGAGCCGTGAACAAAGCTACCCTGCTCAAATATATCTTCATTGACTCCAGCTTACTTTGAAATTCACCATGTTTCTAAAAGTTGGAAATCCCAAATCCAAAACACTGAGTCCTGACTCACTTAGATACTTGAGGCTGGATTAGAAACCTTCACTGATAGTCTCCACGTGCACTTCGGGATTTGAAACATGATGGTATTGCAGGGATTTCCCCCTCAGACCTACATGAGTAAGCCCTTAATTACCTTAATTGCTGTGACTTAAAAATTTATGTAGATAAATTTTAATTAACTAATCTCATCAATTTCCTTAATTTGTGGACTTTCACTTACAAAGTTGCCTATCAGGTTACTTTTACCTCCTCTGTTCAATTTGGCATCATTATGATTTCAATGATATAATAATTCTCTTGATACCAAGGAACTGATGCCAAGGATAATAATATACCCCTGGTTCCCATCAACTTGGTGTTTGTTTGTTTGTTCATTTTAATTATACACCATACACTTGATTCCTTATTAGATAATGCCTAAGCTCAGTAACATTGCTACCCTCCCCTAACAGACCATTACCTCTTCTTGCTCTTCTTCGTCGTATTCTTCTTGTTCTGCAGCATCATCTTCCTCCTCCTCCTCGCCTTCTTTACCTTTCTCTTTGCTTCCTTCTTTCTCTTCATTTTCCTCATCTGATTTTTCACCATCACCTCTCTTTTCCAATTCCTGGTATAAATGAGCTTCATTAATTTAAATGGAAACCACTAGACTTTGACCTCCCTGCTCAGCCTCAAGAGAACACAGTTACCTACCACCTCATTCTAATCCTCCCTTACCAATGCCTCCAGGCCACCACTAGGAAACTGAGCTAACTCCAGAAAGGAGGAACTCAACGTCCTGTCATCAGTACACTAGTATTTTCTTTGATATTGTCACTTCACAGTTGGGTCTCAGGTAATGCTCAGTATCAGCTCTAATGCACAATGCTTTATTTTTATGATTTCTATCCTACCTCCTTCTAAAATATTGAGTTGATTCAGTTATGGAGAAGAACTTTCAGTGTGTTATTTTGTTTTCCTTCTAACATAAAAGGAGAAAAGAGACTATAACGGTAACATTTCAAAGTGGCAATGTTTTAGTCCATAGGTGAAATAGTTTAAAACAATTAATATTGAGTCATCTCAAGGTGAATTATCCTACTTGCAGATTATCCATGGCCTTATCTCTTTTCTCCTTCATTATTTACTTTCTATTTCCAGGAATTTTTTCTTAATTTATCTGGTAGGTTGAGAAGAAAGATGAAAACTCAAACCACAATCAACATTAGCATTTATTAGCCACTGTTAAGCATTGGAGGCACAGGAGAGATGCAAAGTTAGAACAGCTTTGATTGCTTGATGGGTCCACTTATCTACCCTGTTAAAACTGCCATGCTACCGTCTCAAAACACACAAATTTAACTTTAAAATTACATCTTTATATTTCTATTATGACTACCAATTTTTTCCATTTGATAAAAAGTGACCTGTTTTCATTACTATCACTATTCATTCACTAAATTGTTCTATGCCTAATTTGCACAAGTGATAGAATTTCACAAGTTTTCTAGGAAGTGACTAAAGCATTAATTTCACATATTAATACTCATAATTAAGGCATAAGATCACTTTAGCTAAGATGTGATTGATTATTCTTAAACAGTAATCAGAACACTAATTCATAAATCTGCAAATACTCCATCCTATTATAAGATATTTACTTTGTAGATTATACACAGAGAGAAAACACATTTTGTATTTGAAGACTCCAACTTAGCTATTCCTTTATTGGTTCTTAAATATTTATTTTTTAAAATCCCTTTAATTACATTCAAATTTGAATTTAAGGACATCAAAGGCAATAGAAAGACTACATTCAAACTCCACCTTTCCTGTCACCTCATCCCACTCAGGCAGAACAAGTAAGACCAAGGCAATAGACGTAAGATCATTTATCTTCATACTGTCCCATGATGCCTTATATGAGTTATTACCACAATATAATATGTGCAATTTTTCCAACTGGCAATCCCTTTGGAAAACTGCAAGCAAACAAAATAGTGTTTATAGATCTTTTGAAGTGTCTGTAAATACACACACACACACACACACACACACACACATAATGATGTTATGTTAACATTAACTAATATATGGAATTTTTTCTTTTCTATTTTAATCAAACCACAGAAAAAAAGGCCAAAACCCATAAGTTTGTGTAGTTAAAAGGGAATTGTAATGTTATATTTATTTAACTCTGTGCAAGGTACACACTATATCTGAAAAATCATGCTATTAGTTATTATTTCATAATCAGCAATAGAATTATTTAAACCAGTTTATAAAAATATTTTTAAAATACAGAATTCATTCAGTGCTACGTGGGGATTAGGAAGTCTTCATTTCCACTACTGCCACCTCAAACATCTTTATTTTAATAAGCCCAACTCTATTTCTACCACATAGACCTAAATCAAACCCATAAAATACCTAAATTGGTTAACAAAGAGCAGATTTATGCAATTTAAAAAAATGACCTCAGAGCCACGTTAAGCTACCGGTTTGGTTCCTCTACCAAGTAGCCTCCATTTTCTCTTCTGTGAGATTTAACTATTTACCCCTATTACTTTACAGACTTGTTTTAAGAATAATGTGAATAATATAATGTGAAAACAGTTTGAAAGCAGGTAATTTACAGACAGGGAACAGTTCTAGCTTAAATACTATACGGCCACCTTATAGAAAGAGCCTCCCATATGTTATGCAGAAATAAGCAGCTAAATACTAGTTTACTGCTGTCTGACTATTCACACATTAATCATGAGATCTGACTGTATGTCACTCTCTCTCCATCCACAGAAGTTTTATTATAATCAAACTGCTTTTGTGAAGAAATGAACAATAACAGAGTCATCTGGAAGCTAAGTTTGCTCTATTACAACTGCTAACTCATTAGGATTTCTAGATTTAAAACTCCAGTTTTAACAGCGTGTATACTGAAAAGGTGTTTAAATGTAGGGAATAAGGAAACACAACTTGTTCTGATGAGAAACGACATCCAGAGGTCCAGATCAATCTTCCTTATAGCACATGTCATCTTAGCAACTTCTTGCCAGGAAGCTCTAAGAACAGTCAGCATCTGTGTTCAATCAATACAAGCTGGCTAGTTCTACAACCCCATCCATCACGCCACCAAGTTAAACCAGACAGTTATTGCTATTCCTTCAACAATCCTTCTGGCTTTATTTTCAGACATGTTATCTCCAGCTCAAGTACTGATCAAAAAATAAAATAACAAAAATATGAGTTTCTGTTACCAAGTAGCTGTGCCAACTTGGCTAGGCAAGGAAAGTTTTAACGCCTGGACTTCCTCATCTGTACGTAAGGAATAATAATACCAATCTCTGTTGTTATGAAGTCGCAAGGACATAATGTATTTAACTGGCTCATCAAAGAGCCTGGTACATAGTAAGTTCTCAATAATTGCTTGCTGCTATCATCATCATCATCATCATCATCATCATCATCATCATCCCCATCAATGCAAGGTGATACATGGATTGATAGTGGGAATAAATTGGTATAACCTCCATGGAGAGTGATCTGTCCATATTTATCCATATTATACAATACACATAAGAACTGACCCAACAAACCCACTTCTAGCAATCTACCCTACATATGTGAAATGACATACTTAACATGAACTCACTGCAGCATTGTTTATTAAGTGAAACACTAGATGAAACATAATGTCCACCAATAGAGTATTGATTAAATAAATTATAGTTCATTCTTACATTACAGCCAAAAAAAAGAATGAGGCAACTCTATACAGACTGACATGGACCATCTCCAAGATATTTTAAGTGATAAAATGAAAATGTAAAAAAGTATAATATGCTACCTTTCGTCATTAAAAAGAAAAAGAAAAAATCTGTATTTGCTAGACATAAAATATTTCTGGAAGGATACATAATAAACTGGTAAAACTGACTGTCTACAGGAGGAGAGCTGGATGGCTAGGAACAGGGATGGGAGGGCAAAATTTCACTTTATTAACCTTTTGAATTTTACTTTTTATTTTTGAAATATTAAAAAAATGAAGATATAAAAATAAGTTCCATAAGATATGGTTTTCCCTCAATAGAATCTTCTACACTTAACATGAGATAGCAAAAAAGCATTAGAAAGTACATATACAACAATAGGAGAAAACAAAATGAGAGGTTTTTAAGAGAAATACATTTTAGGTATTCTTACATGTTTCCTTCCCATGCATAATTCAAACTCAAGAGGAAAACAGGGAGACAGTGGAAAAGGAAGCAGGTGATAGAAGGTGAGGGAAGTTGACAGGTGAGTGGCAGAGAAAGACAGGATGGAGTCCCCATAACTCCCAACCAACAACATTCACACCTTTCCAGTAACCCTGTGTGCTGGGCTGGGTTCTGCCAAACCCACATGTTATTAAAAAGTGAGAGAAGGTGGAAAGGGTGAAGAAGGCAAAAGGAGGTAAGACATTTTTTCAATTTGATCTTCGAGTAAAGAAGAAAACCTTACCTCGATTTTTTTCAATACATCTGCAGTATTAGTGAGTGAAGTGCCTTTGCCTGCCTCTTTTGCCTTTTTGGATTTGGGGCCTGCTGAAGGAAAACTACTGTGAATACATTTTTCTATAAGAGCAACTGTGTATTATATTTCTCTGCCTTTTAATGTGCTGTATAGCATAGTGCTATGTCATACCAGGCAGTCACATCATTTGCAGACTGAATTAATTTTCTTAAAGAATAAACAAATCAGCACACCTCACCAATTTTCCATGATGAGGAGTAAATGATAATCACTTAACAGGATATTTTCTAAGGCTGCAGCCAGATTAATTAATGTCATTAGGGCTAAAGCTGAAAGAATGTGTAGAAGCACTAGGGGACCAGCGGAAAGGCTCTCACGAATGCAGCATCTGCACTGCTTCCTGTTCACTGATCAGGAATTTTAACCAGGGCAATTTTACCAGGTTTGGAAAATAAAAAACAAGTGCGGAATAAATATGCATTTGCCAATGGTTAAAGAGATGAGAAAGAGGTTATATTCAGCACAACATAGCACTACCTTTGGAATGAAGATTAAAATGGTAAAACGGAACACACTCATCATATGAATCTGAAATCTCAAAGCAATATAAATAAAATGTTTTAATGGCTTTGGGATACACAATTTTTAAGCCATATCAAAAATATTGTATTTTGAGGCTATTCTGAAACTGCAGGTAATAGAGAATTATTTCACGTATAGATCCTGTCAGTCAGTTACCAAAACATTGTGATATACTATAAAGTTGTCCCATTGTGATCAAAAAGTGTTATGGTTCTTTCCCCAAATCAAACTAAATACCTAGAAATTACTTGGTAATAGAGGAAAATATGGCTCAGAAAGATGTAATTTTGTTAAAGATTAACATTTAACCTACAGAAGAAGAAATTTTTAGATTGTGGTGGATGACCCATAACTGATGGAATTACAATTTACTGTGTTATACCAAACTGCCCCTCAGGGAGTCACTGAGTTCAGAACTCCCAAACATATTTATTAGTGAGGTTTTACTCAAACAAAAGTAATAGTTAGATTTAATGACGGGTAACTTTCTCTGGCCCCCTTGAGGGTAAAGACTGTTTAATCTGAACTACAACACATAAAATATAGTATCATATATGAACAAGATCTCAATATATATTATAATATTGATGTCAGAAAACATTAGCTAAGAATCTAATTTACTCACATGATGAAGTATTTTCCTCTAAGGAGCTTTTATCAAATTATTTAAATTTCATAACATATAAGTCTGTTAAATGGATATTATCAAACATGGTCAGATAAATAAACTTATTAAAAATTACTAATCTCCTAACCAAGAAAGTCAGTCGCATATTCAAGTCCACTCAGTATTTTTTGCTATGTATTATTGTGTGGTTTTATACAATGCCTAATCTTTATAAGTATAATTGAGGGAGAAGTATCAAATTAACAAAATTTGTTAAAAGATTGTTTTAACCCCAAAACAGTAACATGAATTTTTTTTTCCATCTTAGCCAAATATATGCATATATTTGAATTTTTTTCTTTCTTTCAATACCCGCCAGTAGCTGGTTCTTTGAGAAACAAACTTTTTCAGCCTTTGGCTCTGTTGATATTGTTTACTTTCATGTAAATCAGTGGAGGCCATTTTAACAAAAGAGAGAGTTACAGACTTATCAGGAATAAAACACAAAAATTACACAATATGCAAGAAAAAATATTAGAGCAGAATGGAAAAAGAAAGATTTGTTGTTGTTTGGTTTTTTAACCAATGGAAATCCAGGTGCAGTGGAAGCCTTTACTAAGGATCAACGTGTATATGAGATTCCAGGGATGAGCCATCAACAGGATGTGTTTGAAAAAATTAATTCTTCCAAATCATTCTTTTCAGCTCTTTAAAGTCAGCTACAAATTTGTGATCCACTAAAACATGACCAATATCATTCATACACGTTATTTTATTGTGAAAATAATATATTTGCCAAATAAAAGCCAAGAGTATAAAGGGGACAGCAGATAAACCATCATATCTCAACATATAATAATCTGTACAAAATCAATAAATATTCTTATAAATCGTAACTTTGAAATAAAACAAAAATACTTCCACTTTAAATACATATGCAAAACTTACCAAATTGTACATTTAAAATGCGTACATTTTATTGTATGTCAATTATATCTCAAAAAGCTGTTAAAAAGGGGAGAAGGATATCTTTCAGAAGACAGAAGCAGAGGGAATACTTCCTAACTCATTCTATGAGGCCAGCATTACCCTAATATCAAAACCAGACAAATATTACAAAAAGAAAACTAAAGCCTGATATTGCTCATGAATATAGATGCAAAAGTCCTCAACAAAATGTTCTCAAGTCCAATCCAACAATGTATAGAAAGAACTATACACCTCGACCAACTGGGATTTATCCTAGGTATGTAAGCCTGGTTCAACATCCCCAAATCAATTCATGTAATCCATCACACCAACATGCTAGAGGAAAAATCACATGATCATATCAATAGATGCAGAAAAAACATCTGACAAAATCAAACAGCCATTCATGATAAAAATTCTTAGTAAACTAGGAATAGAGGGGAACTTCTTCAACTTGATAAAGAATATCTACAAAAACCCCTATAGTTACATCATACTTAATGGCGAAAAACTCAACATCATACTTTTGTTTTTTGTTTGTTTCTTTGTTTTTTGTGAGGAAGATTAGCCCTGAGCTAACATCCATGCCAATCCTCCTGTTTTTTTGCTGAGGAAGGCTGGCCCTGGGCTAACATCCATGCCTGTCTTCCTCCACTTTATATGGGACGCTGCCACAGCATGGCCTGACAAGCGGTGCATTGGTGCATGCCCGGGATACAAACCCAGGCCACCATCATCGGAGCCTGCGCACTCAACTGCTACGCGACGGGGCAGGCCCCTCGACATCATACTTAATGGTGAAAAATCTGACACTTTCCCACTAAGATCAGGAACAAGGCAAGAAAGTCCCTTTCACCACTGCTTTTCAACATTGTACTGGAAGCCCTAGCAAATGAATAAGATAAGAAAAGGCTAGGGCCGGCCCCATGGTTTAGCCATTAAGTGCTCGCGCTCCGCTACTGGGGGTCCGGGTTCGGATCCCAGGCGCGCACTGATGCACCGCTTCTCCGGCCATGCTGAGGCCGCGTCCCACATACAGCAACTAGAAGGATGTGCAGCTATGACATACAACTATCTATTGAGGCTTTGGGGGAAAAAAAAATATATAAAAAAATAAATAAATAAAATAAAATAAAAAAGAAAAGGCTATAAAAGGTATTCAGGGCTGGCCCAGTGGCGTAGTGGTTAAGTTCAGGCGCTCTGCTTCGGCGGCCTGGGGTTTGCAGTTTGGATCCTGGGCGCGGACCTAGGCACCGCCTATCAAGCCATGCTGTGGCAGGCGTCCAGCATATAAAGTAGAGGAAAATGGGCACGGATGTTAGACCAGGGCCAATCTTCCTCAGCAAAAAGAGGAGGATTGGCAATGGATCTTAGCTCAGGGCTAATCTTCCTCACCAAAAAAAAAAAAAAGAAAGGCATACAGATAGGGATGGAAGAAATAAAACTGTCTTTGTTCATAGATGACATGATCATCTGTATAGAAAATCTGAAAGAATCCGCCAAAAAAACTCCTGGAACTAATAAGCAATTACAGAAAGGCTGCAGGATGCAAGGTTAATACACAAAAGTCAAGAGCTTTCCTATATACCAACAATGAACAAGTGGAATTTGAAATTAAAAACACAATACCATTTACATTAGCACTCCCAAAATGAAATACTTAGACACAAATCTAATAAAATATGTGCACGATCTATATGAGGAAAACTACAAAACTCTGATGAACGAAATCCAAGAACTAAATAAATGGAAAGATATTCCATGTTCATGGATAGGAAGACTCAATATTGTCAAAATATCAGTTCTTCCTAACTTGATCTATAGATTCAATGCAATCTCAATCAAAATCCTAGAAAGTTATTTTGCAGATATTGACAAACTGATTCTTATGTGTATATCCAGAGGCAAAAGACCCAGAACAGCCAACACAATATTGAAAGAAAGAACACAGTTGGAGGACTGACATTACCCAACTTTAAAACATACTATAAAGCTATAGTAATCAAGACAGTGTGGTATAGGTGAAAGAATAAACACATAGATCAATGGAATAGAACAGAACTGAGAAATAGACCCATAAAAATACAGAAAAAGGAGCAGAGGCAATACAATGAAGAAAAGATAGTCTTTTCAACAAATGGTGCTGGAACAACTGGACTTTCATATACAAAAAAATGGATCTAGACAGACCCTACACCCATCACAAAATATAACTCAAAATGGATCACAGACCTAAATGTAAAACACAAAACTATAAAACTCCTAAAAGATAACATAGGAGAAAATCTAGATGACCTTGAGTTTGGTGATGACTTTTTGGATGCAACACCAAAGGCACAATCCATGAAAGAAAGAATTGATAAGCCGGGCTTCATTAAAAGTAAAAATATCTGTTCTGTGAAAGACAGTGTCAAGAGAAGGAGAAAACAAGACACAGACTGGGAGAAAATATTTGCAAAAAATATACCTGTTAAAGGAGTGTGTGAAATAATAGAAAAAATACATAATGGTCTCTGCTCCTGGTTCTTGGCACAGAACTCTTAAAACTTTTGTGATTTCCTACATGATAAAGGCACTAGGAGCACCCTTTGTTCTAATATTTTGTCTTTGACCCTTTGACAGAGCTCCTAAATCCCTTGGAATTTACCGGGTGACAGAAGTATCTTTTATTCTAAGGAGGAGACTTTTGGTGTGCTACTGGATAGCTTCAGGATGAGGGCTGGTCACCAGGTAGATCAAGCCATGATCAGAAGTCTGGAACTTTCAGCCCCATCTCCCATCCCCCGGGAAAGGGGAGAGGCGCTGGAAACTGAGTTAATGATTGATCATGCCTATGCGATGAAGCCTCCATAAAAATTCTAAAAGTACGGGGTTCGGTGAGTTTTCAGGTTGGTGAATACATCCACATACTGGGAAGGTGGCATATCCCCACGCCACGGAGACAGAAGTTCCTGTGCTGGGGACTCTTCCAGACTTTGCCCTATGTATCTCTGTATATGACTGTTCATCTGCATCCTTTATTATATCCTTTGTTATATAATAAATTGGTAAACATAAGTAAGTGTTTCCTTGAGTTCTAGCTAACTGTTCTAGCAACAAATCCAAGGCGGGGTGGGGTTGGGGTGGGTGGGTCACGGGAACCTCCAATCTGTAGCCAAGTCAGACAGAAGTTTGTTGGAGACCTACTACTTGTGACTGACATCTGAAGTGGGGAGCAGTCTCATGGGACTGAGCCCTTAACCTGTGGGGTCTGTGCTAACTCCGGTTAATGTTAGAACTGAATTGAATTGTAAGACACCCAGCTGGTGCTGGAGAGAACTGCTTGGTGTGGGAAAAAAATACTCCACACATCTGGTGTCAGAAGCGTTGTGAATGCGGTAGTAGTATGAAAGTAAAGGAGAAACACACAGGAGTGTTTTCCATACAGACTATTATCCAAAATATACAAACTCTTACAACTCAATAATAAAAAAAAAAAAAAATCCAATTAAAAATGGGCCAAAGACCTTAACAGACATTTTGTCAAACAAGATATACAAATGGCATGTGAGCATATAAAAACATGCTCCACATCATACGTCATCAGGGAAATGCAAATTAAAACAATAATGAGATACCACTACACACCTATTCTATGGCCAGAACACTGACAACACCAAATGCTGACAAGGATATGGAGCAACAGGAACTCTCATACATTGCTGACGGGGATGCAAAATGCTACAGCCACTTTGGAAGACAGTTTGGTGGTTTCTTACAAAACTAAACATACTCTTACCATATAATCCAGTAATCATGCTTCTTGGTATTTACTCAAAGGAGTTGGAAACTTATGTCCACACAAAAACAGATGATTACAGCAGCTTTATTCATAATTGCCAAAACTTGGAAGCAATCAAGATGTCCTTCAGTAGGTGAATAGATGAACTGTGGTACATCTAGACAACGGAATATTATTCAATGCTAAAAAGAAATGAGCTATCAAGCCATGAAAAGTCATGAAGGAAACTTAAATGCATATTACTAAGTGAAAGAAGCCAATCTGAAAAGGTTACATCCTGTATGATTCCAACTATATGACATTCTGGAAAAGGCAAAACTATGGAGTTGTAAAAAAAAAATCAGTGGTTGCCAGGGGTTAGGAGGAGGAAAGGATGAATAGGCACAGCACAGAGGATTTTTAGGGCAGTGAAAGTACTCTAAATGATACTATAATGGTGAATACATGTCATTATACATTTGTCAAAACCCACACAATGTACAACATAAACAGTGAGCCCTAAGGTGAACTTTGGACTCTGTGTAATAATGATGTGTCAATGTAGGTTCATTGATTGTAACCAAGGTACCACGCTGGTGGGGGATGTTGATAAAGGGGGAGGTTATGCATGTGGGGGGGGGCAGGGAATGTATAAGAAATCTCTGTACTTTCTGCTTAATTTTGCTGTGAACCTAAAACTGCTCTAAAAAAATAAAATTAACAAACAAAAAACAAGGCCTGAAAAAAACAAGAGAGAGGTAGGGCGAAACCTCTTCTCTTAGTTGCTAACTCCATTGTTCTTAATCTTTCTGGCTACTTCCTTTTTCTCTCTTCATTCTTTGTAGCAAAATTCTCCAAAGACTCATCTATGCTAGCTGTCTCCATTTCCTAAACTCCCATTTACTGTTTAACCCACTCAATCCGGATTCCCCCTCTACGAATCTTGTAAAAAGCTCTCACTGACATCAACAATGATCGCCATGTCAAAAATTAGTTTACATTTTCCAGTTTAGCTTGCTTGACCTCTCAGCAGCATTGTTTAATATCCTTTCACATTGTTGACCACTTTCTAAAATACTCTTCACTTCTGTACATTCTTGCATCTGTAACTCCACTCTCTTCTGGTTCTCCTCTTTTCCCTTCCCATCTCCTTTCTTTGCTGATTCAATTTCCTCCACCAGCCCATTAAATTTGGGCATTCCTCCAAGCTCAGGCTTAGGCTCTTATTTCTTTTAATTCTCTAATTTCAACCCAAACAATCTCATCCTTTCTCACAATCTCAATTATAACACCTATGCTGATGACTACTATCTCCATTCTGAGCTCCATCCCTCTGTATCCAACAGCATGTTCAACATTTCTATTTGTATATCTCAAAGGAAACTTAAATTCCATCTTTCAACTGAACCCATGATTTTTCCCTCACAAACCCGGTCTTTCTCCAACATCCCTCCTCCAACCTCATATTAGTAAACTCCTACTTATCCTTCAATCTGGACTGTAATTCCATTTTCCTCAAAGAACCCTTCCCTGACTTCCCAATGAGGACAGTGTGTTTTTGTTTAATGTTTTTACTCCATTTGACTGTAAACTCTATGAAGTCAAGGATTATTCCCACTTTGCTCACTGTTTTTTTCTTCTGAGCACAGTGTCTGGCAACAGTAGAAGCCTAGCAACTATTTGCTCAGTGGAATTACAAAAGAACAATACATGCGCCGGCCCCATGGCTTAGCAGTTAAGTGCGCGCGCTCTGCTGCTGGCGGCCTGGGTTCGGATCCCGGGTGCGCACCAACACACCGCTTCTCCCGCCATGCTGAGGCCACGTCCCACATCCGGCAACTAGAAGGATGTGCAACTATGACATACAACTATCTACTAGGGCTTTGGGGGAAAAAAATAACTAAATAAAATTTTTAAAAACAAAACAAAACAAAAAAAACCAAAAGAACAACACAATAGAAACTTTCACTTTGGTATTTTATGTATAATATATAGTTCTATTCTACCAGTTCCCAAATTTTACTAGCTCCAGATGTTTACCAAATCTGAATGTTTTAGTTAAAAACTTAAAATATAGCCAGTATAACCAGTAAAAAAATTTTAATATGCAAATGAAAATGTCTACATAGTTGAAAAGTCTTTTCTAGCACATCAAAATTCCATAAATAAAGAAAAACAACTAAACAAACAAAAACAAAGTCAATTAAAACAAAGTTTTAACAAAATAATCAAAATGCCAAACATATTTTAAGAAAAAGTATTCAGAACATTGAGTGTAACTTCAGGTTGACAATTCCATATTAGATAGAATTTAAGCAATAACCTTTTCTTATCTGGATTACTATTATGTTAGTCAATGTACCTTTTTTGCATTTTTTCGTTGGCATCATCTCTCTTGGGAGTCTTCTCCAATCTGGGTGCACAAAAGAAGAAATATAAAAATTGCAGTTTCCTCTAGGAATCAGTGGCACTGGACATAACTATTTAAAGAACACGACAGTTGCTAATGCAATAAAAATAAAATTTCTTAGTATCTGACTGTATAGATTTAGCCTGGGAATCAAAATATAACAGTGATATATTTTCTCCTATGAGTAAAAAAAGTTCATTAAAATAGCTTTGAAACAGTGCTATAAAATTTTTACAACACTCTTTGAACAGCTATATAGTATTTATATAATAAATTTTAAATACAGAAATTTTTATAACAAGAATAATGATGTAGAAAATATTTATGGAAATGAAAAGTTATTCATAAATACTATTAAATAAAAAAAGTTTCTAAAACAATATATATAGAATTCAATTAAAAAAATAAACCTAACATATAAAGCTTTTTATACATATAATATTTGTTCAGAGAAAGCTCTAGATTGGGAAGAAAATATTACAGTAATTCTTTGTGGGTGTTAGGATTATTGCTGTTTTTCTTAAGTATTATTCATTATTTGATTATTCTGTATTTTGTAAGTTTTCTGTAGTTGATATCGTGTTTCTTATGAAATAAAGGATTTTTTTCCCAAAAGTTAAAGTATGTGACCACAATCCCAATATACGCAAAATTAAATAAGCAATTTTGATAATTATCTGAAAACTTTAAAATTAAAAATATAAATAGCTGTGGAAAAGTAAATTCCCTCCAATAAATGATTCTGCCTGCAGTAGCTAAACGATTCCTCTAATTTGTCACTTTCTTCTAATTTTTAAGCATAGAGTTAATCAGAAAAATGAAGCAACATAAAAGTGAATTAAAAAATACTGTCTAGGGCCGGCCCCGTGGCTTAGCGGTTAAGTGCGTGCACTCCGCTGCTGGCGGCCCGGGTTCGGATCCCGGGCGCACATGTGCACCGACGCGCCGCTTCTCCGGCCATGCTGAGGCTGTGTCCCACGTACAGCAACTAGAGGGATGTGCAGCTATGACATACGGCTATCTGCTGGGGCTTTGGGGGAGGGGGAAATAAATAAAATCTTTAAAAAAAAAAAAAAAAATACTGTCTAATTAAAAAAAGTCAGTGTATTTTGTAGAAAACATTTATATCTCAAGCTATTTTACCTGAACTAATAAATTTTTCTTGGAATATATTTCTGTTTTTCTAAATGACTCACAGATGATCATCAGAAAGTACATAAAGAGAATCATTTAGGAATGAATATTTATGAAGTGGAAGAAATGAGAGATCTGAGGAGTGTTTCCAGGGGGACACAACCCTCTCAACCATCAACACTGAAGAAAGCACTATAACCCGTGAAAGCAATAATGCTGTAAATGCTGTTTTTGCTTTTACATAAAGGCAGTTTCTATAAAACAGCAAGGACAGGATGTCAAAGAAAAGTGAGTTAAAATGGGGAGACCTGGGTTCTAGTAGTACTGCCCAAGTCGCCCTGACAGGTCACTTCATTTCTGTGGCAATTGTTTTTTATCTGCAAAGTGAATGAGCTCATGAGATCTCTAGCTCCGTCCACCTTGTCTGTATCAAAGGCAAATTTGTGAATGGTGAAAAAAACCTCTCTTAGCTATGGTTCTGTTGAAAAGGCATCTTAACAACTAAAAATAGTCTATGTCTGCTTGAAAGAAAGGAAGATCCATTAGCTTGGCTTAACACACTCTTAAAACCAGGCTTGTTTTCTCCTCAAAAGCTATATAACCATTCAGAAGCACAGAGTGAGTACTGGTACTACAGATGAAAACTGAGATTGTGGCAAATGAAAATGGAAAATCCAAATAGGTTTGGATTTTATAAAAAATCCAAAAAATCTTTTATAAAAATCTGTTAGAAAAAATCACTTTAAGAACTTCCACAAAAACACTTCAACTCGTCCTTCTAACAGTATAAAAATCTTTTCATCTTAGTTTTTGGAAGATATATATTACTAATTAATTACAGGAAAAGAGCCAGACTCTATTTTCTTATGGTGAATATAGAAAATATGTCCTAAAAAAATATGGGGTGGGGAGTAGTCTTTAAAAATTATTTTAACATTTTCATTTTTATAATGACCTGGTATCCACTCTTCCTTGTACACCTTCATATATCTTTTACTATATCTTTCAATATCTAGAAAAAAAGAAAAAAAGTTCATTAGAAAAAATCAAGAATAAAACTGAATTTAAGCCACTTTTAAAATAATTGAAAACACTAGATAACATCTTTTATTTCACATACAGGGAGTCTCCTACACTTGTGTTCCTGAACACGTATGGAAAAGTTCAGTGAGCATGACATGTTTAAGCAAGTGGCAAGAAGCAGCTGGGTATGCATGGCGGGGGTGAGCAGAGCCCTAAACTCTGATTATGGTTCTCAGAATCAGACAACCTGACTCATCTCTGGGAATATTCACAAAAGCCCAAAGCCAGGTAAGGAAGCCACTTATATATAAGGACACGGAGGTCTACTCAGCGTCTTCTATTCAGCGTCTTCTATTTTCTTCTTGTGACACTGGCCTCCAGCTCCCAATCTTTAAACCTGTGTAACTGGGATGTGTTAAGTACCTAAGTGGGGCTGGAGGGCTGTTTGCTTGCCTCCAGTGCTTAATACACACATTCAGTTAGGCTTCTCAATGAGCTACTTTTCACAACCCCTTGGGGAGGGGAATGGGGAAGCAGCTAGGAGCAGGCAAGGTTGGACTTGATGCAGCATGAATGAGCAAGCTGCAAGCCTTCCATACAACTACTGGGAGCTCAGCAGGGACCTTCTGAGCTTGCCAAAAATGGGAGAGCCAGCACTGTGGCTCTTGCTTCTGCTTTGCCCACTTTGCCACAAGAAACTCCCTCAATGAGTGCCCAAACCCTTTCCCAACAGCACAAGCTGGCAAGTAACACCATTATGCAATAGCTTAAAAACATGGTTCACTGTAAAAAGTAATTTAAGAGTATAGCCATGAAAAAGGGAAGGTAATACAAAAGATGAAAGTATAACAATCAAGGCCCAAATATGTACTGATTTTTCTTCCACGTTAAGAAAATGCTTCCAAATAATACTAAGGCCGTGGTGTTAGACAAAAATAACTAAAATAAATAGTAGATCAAAGACCAGGCTTTTCTAGGTATTTAACTGTTTAACTTCAATCTTGCTCTCAAGTTTTTCATCTGTAAAGAGAAGTCAGCATAAATGAGAGATTCCCAGCATTTGCATTCAAAAATTTTCTCTAAAACAGATTCCATATTTTGAAAATATTAACCCTCAGTATACCAAGAAAAACAGTTATTACCATTTATTATCTGGATCCAATGAACCATTTTTTATATTTTTAGGTTACTTTCAAATAATTTACAGAAGAATAAGATATACTGAAAACCAACTACTGAAAGCCAATTAAAAAGAGGCAAAGGATTTGAACAGACATTTCTCCAAAAAAAGATGTACATGGACAAAAAGCACATGGTAAGATGCTCAACATCATCAGTCATTAGGGAAATTCAAATCGAAAGCACAATCAGATACCACTTTATATCCAGTAGGACGGCTAGAACCAAAAAGACAATAACAAGTGTTGACAAGGATATGGAGAAACTGGACCCCTCATACATTGTTGGTAATGTAAAATGGCACAACCACTTTAGAAAACAGTTTGGCAGTTCCTCAAAATGTTAAATGTAGAATTGCCATATGACCCAAGATATATACCCAATAGAAATGACATATGTCCACACAAAAATGTACACGAATGTTCATTGCAGCATTATTCATGATAGCCCCAAAGTGGAACTGAATCAAATGTCCATTAACTGATGAATGAATAAACAAAATGTAGTATAAACATACAATGGAATATTATTCAGCCATAAAAAGAAACGAAGCACTGATACATGCTATACCATGGCTGAACCCTGAAAACATGCTAAGTGAAAGAAGCCAGTCATAAAAGAAGACATATTATGATTCCATTTATACGAAATGTCCAGAACAGACAAATCACTAGAGACAAGCAGATTAGGGGTTCCTGGGCTGGGGGTGGGGGGAGAATGGGGAGTGAAACTAATAGGTTTCTTTTTAGGATGATGAAAAGGTTCTAAATATTAGATAGTAGTGTTGGTTGCACAATTCTGTGACTACATTAAAAGCCACTGAATTGTATACTTTAAAAAGCAAATTTTATGTATCTGAATTTTATCTCAATAAAGCTGTCATCTAAAAAGAAAGAAAACAGGGCCGGCCCCATGGCTTAGCGGTTAAGTGCGTGCGCTCCGCTGCTGGCGGCCCGGGTTTGGATCCCGGGCGCACACTGACGCACCGCTTCTCCAGCCGTGCTGAGGCCACATCCCACATACAGCAACTAGAAGGATGTGCAGCTATGACATACAACTATCTACTGGGGCTTTGGGG